TATTAGTTACATGCCCAAGTGCGATTCATTACAATTCGTGTGCAATTACACTTCTTCGATGCCTGCCTTCCTAATACTCATACCGTAATAGTTCATATTTTTCCTGGTGTTCGATATTCCCAATGGCTAGAACCTCTGCTGACTGTCAGGAATAACTGCGAATGGTAAGAAATTACTTTCGTAATGAACACGCCACGTTACTCGGTTTTGTGGTGAATATAACATACGGGTTGGGCACAACTACTGTTGAGAGAAATCCAGACTGATAGCATGTGAGCTCCTTCACCTCTTACAGTAGGTTCCTAATTAATAAAAAAATGCCATAATATTTTAAAACATAACGAAGAGTTCAGCCAAATTAAATATTAGACACATGCCACGCCTGCAGAATTAGGAAGATCAACACAAGGCTGCACAAATACGGGACATACCTTTCATTGCAGACAGCGCCATTACCATACACCGGCAGACCGAGGCACTTGATATCCCACTGTCTGCTGGTGTGACCGTGAGAACAAAGTCACAATTCCTGAACCTGAAAAAGGGCAAGAGCTGATCCCTGAAAGCACGCCGTCACTGTTAAAAAGTAACCACGCGAACAGACCATGTAAGTCTCTAGCGCAAAACATTACATTCGTTTCAAAGTCCTCTTTTCTAGACGTTAAACATATTAAATTAAAATTCAGTGCATATGGACGAATCCACAAGCATTCGGAACTTTAATGATGAATCCTGTAACTACCACCTGCTTTACTGTTCACATCTCTGCATTCGCTCAGAGTTATTTTATAATATGTTTCTCAGAATAAAGAGAAAAAGTTTTGCTAAGATCATTAATAGACTAAATCATCCGACAGGCCGCTTTATTGCTAACTGGAGTTATAACTGGCTGGACTAATCTGGCTCAGAAGAGGGTAATGTAAAGACGATGATGAACTTTCGGGTTGCATAGAACGCGGCAAATTTCTTGCCTGGGTGACCACTGCTTCTCTAGAAAGATACTGCTCCATTCGGTACTTTACTTAAACAATCTGTGAGAATGTTTGCGCTTGACATTTCGTTTTCGTTAACATTGTCAAGGCCAACAATGCCACTGTTGTCCGATGTATCATTATCGAACTGAAGTATAGACGATTCCATTAATTTTCGAACGTCAGGGAAAGCAACATATTCAATTTCATACAAAATACAGTAGTATTTAATTAAACTGTCCATGTCTACGGCATTTCCTGTCCCAGAATGTTCGTGCTGATACAAGACCCTGCTATTTTTTTCCTCGCCCACACGACGCGCTGCCGAGTGCAACATCACGTGTCAGTTCCGCAATGTCTTGGTTATGTTGGCCTGGTTCAACGACACACTGACTTTCTAGAGCCCTGCTGAAGGTCAACAAGGAATTGGCCAACCCCTCGCGTCTGCGCATCAGGCCAGAGCACACCAGTGCTCCCTGCACGCCGACAACATAACTCACAGTAAGCCTTCCCCTCCCTTCCAGACGACGGGTTCTTATCTTTACATGAGGAGGGGGGGATACATTACGTAAAGATGACACGACCCGTAATTGAAGCACCTTTTTGAATTATGCACGTACTACATGTCTTATTTACCAGGAAGTACTGCAGCGAAACAGTACAGTGCAATATCAGAAAGAAAAGGTGTCTGCTTTGGTTTTTTTAAAATTAAATTGTCTGACAAGTTAGTAATTACGACCATACTCCAGTCCGGACAAACATCAATAAGCTGTTTGAGACACAATTAAATGTTGTCTTCTTAAAGCATATTGACGATCAATCGCATATTGGTGAGATTTCAGGTTTTCACTGCGAGTAAGAACACTCCTGTCTTTTTGGATGTTGTGCCGTGAAAAGAAAACGAACTCAATTATAATATTTATAGATAGTATATATATATAATCAAACTGACATGCTCTGGAGCCTGAAAGAGATTTTTAAATATTTTCCTTATCAGGTACCAGTCCCTTACAAGCAAGATATTTTCCTGTTCAAAACCTGAAACCATTCATGTGAATGTAGGAAAGGAATGCACTATTAAACGCCCATGGGGGCCCACCTTTGGGTACAAATCACAAACGCGCAAAATGACGCTGTTCTGGGAATCCGAGTGGCATTTCCCTGTTGAAGGAGCCTGTCCATGTCATGTTCCTTAACTGCCTCCTCCCCGCCCAACATGCCGCTATTTTCTCCAGGAAGACCTTGAGTCGGTACTTCGCCCCGCCAGCCGCCGATCCATCCAGCTGGATGCCTCCCCAGGTGGTGCGTCAGCAGACGGCTGTTCCCAGCAATGGTGTTCCTCCCATCACAAACATTTCCTCTGTCGCGTTTTCCTGCCTGCACATCTTTTCACTTTTAATAGTGTGGCTGGGGGGGTTATAGAAGACACCGCGCCGGTGTTCTAAATTAAAGAAAAATAATGGAAAGGTATTTCGAACAAGATAAGCGCTGTCTACGTGTGGTTGGTTCAACATCCCACACCGCTTCAGGGTTAATAAATTAACAAGTAATAGACTTGGGGTCAATGTAATTCCTCCTACCATCTGACCATGGGCCTCTCTGGGTGGTTTTGCATCTGCAATCCTTCACGTAGACCTGATGGAAAGGAATATTTTAATCCCGCGGTTCCAACACATTCGTCACCCTATTTTCCTTCGTCTATGTACGTCAATCTGTCCACCCCCACGAATAACTCTGGACCAGCTGACGGGTTTTCATGAAACTTTGTATGAACATTGTGTCAATAGAGGTCGCTAGAAACGACTCCCTTTTTGAAAAAAAATTCCTATTATAAACACTACCAGCATAACGAGCGTAGATGCGCCTCCAGCACCATTTTATGTAAGAAATGAAGATACGATAGAAATAATTCTCCGATTAAATTCGCAGCGAAAGCTTCAAAATCTTACACAGACACCCTACACACCTACATTTCTATTCTGATCTAAAAATAACAACTGCTCCTCAAATTCTTCAAAACGCAGACCCTGCTGTGCGGGTTCTTCATTCCGGAGGTTAAGTAATTAATTGATTCGTTGTGTATTTAACAACGCTTTACTAAGAACTCAGATTAAATGCAACAATTTTCAAATATAAACCGAAACGATGTGAAAAGAGGTGGGCCTGACTTACAATTCTGGTAACTCCTGGACAGTCTAAGCAACACACCAGTATCATATCCGAGATTGGAAGCTGAGACCTCGACAATACACAGAGGTGGGTGGTCAACTTCACGTCCTGGACGCTTTGCCCCCCGAAGAAATAAGCCCGGTACACCCATCGAGTTTCTTGATCACTATGCTGATTATGCTTTTCCAACAAGATGTCACTGCCAAGCAATGGCATTCAAACAGCCTTCAATTTCCTGCACTGAAATATCTAGTTGAAATAAAAGTTTCTGAGCGGACCAGAACATGAGTAAAATTGCAAATTTTATGAACTTGGAATGAGGTTTTCTGTTGTTCGAATAAACAAATTACAGCCTACGTATTAATATATATCTGTACATAACAAACAATCTTTTAATATTGCCGAAAGATTCACAACAAAGCCTTTACAGCATTAAATTTGTTATTTCACGTAAAACATTAATAAAAGATGGCACTGCAGTGCCATATTGTAGCAATCTGTAGAACACGATATGCCAGTTCAACGCGGAACGGCTGGCTCAACCCATTCGGTTCCTCCAGGAAAATAAGCACCAGAGCTAGAGGAGGATGCCGTCTAAAGCTTTGACGTGTTATCGCGTAATTATCACCATTCCTAATCTGCGGAACGCGGATGTGGGCAAGCTGCGCCGAAACAAATAGTCATCCTGAAGAAAGTGAGCATATCGGAAATATGTTGCTTTCCCATGGCATCAACATTAGGGAGTTCTGTCATGAGTTGTTTATTGTTGGTTCTTCGTAAACAATTTGCCCTTCCGAAAGCGCAGAACTGTGCGTACTCAAGGCCTCTAAAGAAGGATGAATATCGTTTTATGACGTAACTGGCGTTAACGAAGGGGGAAAGAAGACAGAACAAATAAACCCCACCAACACTAACCCCACCCCACTCCTCTTTATGTTTCGCAAATATGTGATGTTAAAAAGGTGGCAGTCTTCTGGGTTGTAGCGCCTCCATCATTCGTACGATGGAAACGGCAAGCACCTAAAACGTCCAACTATTAACACTATAATGGACACTATTGCCATACATGTTTCGACCTCAAGAGGTCATCATCAGTGGCATCAGGGAAATTAATACATATAGTCAAATGGTTCTAGCAAATTTCATAATTAAAATAAAAGGTAACTGACAAGATGACTGCACTAGATGCAACAGCTAAGTGCGAGTTTTACTCCTGTGAATAACAGCATCTAGTGCAGTCATCTTGTCAATTACCTTTTATTTCAATTATGAAATTTGCTCGAACCATTTGACTATATGTATTAATTTCCTTGATGCCACTGATGATGACCTCTTGAGGTCGAAACGCGTATGGCAATAGTGTCCATTATAGTGTTAATAGTTGTTGGTTTGTTCACTCTATATTCGAATACACTACACGGTATGCAAAGTTTTAACCTAAAACGTCGCTAAACTTCTACCAGACTACGCGGTGTACAACCCCAGAAGACAGCCTTCTTCGTACCCACCGCCTTGAGAACCTAAATTTCTAGAAGTAGTGTTATTTTCAGTCTTAACCGCAGATGAAAAAAATAGTCGCAATTTATTCCAGTTTCGGGAAGAAAGTCAGATGCTTCGAAATGGTGATACTAGAAAATGATTTAATTTACAATTACGCAATTCATTTAACAATTTGTGAACATTTCAGAACGTATCGCCTCTATTTTCAGGGTAGATGACGGAATACATACGTTCCTTCGAAATAACGGTAACCACCTACCAGAATACACGGCGCTACAACCCAGAAGACAAGTCATCTTCAGACTCACGGCCGTGAAAACCTCAGATCCCACATGTGTATAGTTGGTTGCATATACTCACGGGGGTGTCTGCCGCCGGGGTAATGCTGTGGAGGTTGGTGATGACTACTCCTGGACTGGTGCACTGTGGACTGGACCTGGTGCTGGTGGTGGTGATGGTGGTAGTACGGGGCCAGGAAACCGTGGTGCCCTGGCCCAGGGCTGTCTGGAGTTCTCGCCGCGGGCCCTGTGGGCAGTTTGTGCCGTCATTAACAACACAAGGCGAGGATAATCGGAATAACAGATCAGCAAGTTCTTCACACCTTCTGACCTCCGTTACTGCGGAGGAAGACATACTACCTTGTCACTGTACCTTCTCTCCTTGCACATTCGCACCGCTAAGCCCACAGACGAAGTCGTTCGGACACAATTCCCACCCTTCCACAATTGGGCGACAGAAAAATTAAACCTTCTGTAAGATCATAATTGTGGAATACTTTTATACGAAAATAAACTTATATCGTAAGATAAATACTTTTATTAGAAACGAATAAAAATAAAAATTCGTTTTTGGGAACAGTGCTCGATGAGCGATAACATAATAGGGCGACAGAAACGTGAATTTTATTGCTGACTGAAACTCAAAACAATATCTCGAACATTTTCAATTGTATTCGAAATGTAATGATTGTAAGAACTTACTTTGCATTTTCTCGGTATACTTAAAAATTAACACTTTAAAGGAAAACTTTCATCTGAATAATCAGAATTATATAAAGAGATAAGGAGGAGGGCCTTGGAAAAAAAACCCTGAAATTACGAAACATGTACCATGCCTGACATTTCACTGCTTTATTTTTTTTCCTGTAATGCCATATTTTGATAGATAATGTTTACTTTTCAACTGTTCTGTGTTTACATCACAGAGTACTAGGCCTACGGAATTACGTGTTCGTCATATCTTCAAGCACTTGCGTCTGT